CACGGTCCGGTTCGGCAACTCTGTATCAAGACGCATGCAAAACGGAACCTCCACACTTATTGGGTCATCGACGCAAGGCCGCGGCTGCACCCGCGGTGGATGGGGTTGTAATTCCGGAGGTAGCTGCATTGTGGCTGCGTCATCTGCAGCACCTGGCTCATTAGTCCCGTTGTGTCCACCGTCGCTGTCAACTGCTAACGCATCTTCATCTACGAATGCCGCTCGATCAGGGTCACCACCGATGCCAGCACTACTCGCGCGTTCGGATCTGCCGATACGATACCGAGCCGGCAGAACCGGATCTGGCGGCGGTGGTGCGGTACCTTGGGCAGTGCAGGGCATGCGCCGCCAAGCCAGGGTACGCGCATGACGCGGCACTGCGGCGGTGCACATGATGTCGGCGCGCAAAAGGTCCACATTGGGAATGTCCAGCCAGGCACGGAGCGTGGACTGTTCCTCCGAGCACTGTTCAGAGCAGACGGCACACACCCGCGAAGGCATGCGTCGACGCAACGCGGCGGCCATCCTGCTTGCAAGATGCAAGTGCTTTTCGTAGGGTACCTGCCGATCCACCGGGAGTTCACCGCCGGGCAAATCCTGCACGCGCCCTTCCGGAATGGCCTCCAGAAAATCAGGCGGCCGTGGGTGCTGGCCCTCGTGCAAACAGGGAAACCGCATGAGGTTCCGCAAGTGTTCAAGCAAGCTGGCTTGTGGATGCTGTATTGCATGCACCTGAGCACGGCCCTGTGCGTGTGCAGCGGTGTCACGCTCTTGCTCCGCAGCCCTGCGCTCTGGATCTTGACGGGCAGCAGCTCGTGCAGCGGTGTTACGCTGCTGTTGTGCAGCCCTGTGCTCCGGATCTTGACGGGCAGCAGCTCGTGCAGCGGTGTCACGCTGCTGTTCTGCAGCCCTGTGCTCCGGATCTTGACGGGCAGCAGCTCGTGCAGCGGTGTCACGCTGCTGTTCTGCAGCCCTGCGCTCCGGATCTTGACGGGCAGCAGCTCGTGCAGCGGTGTTACGCTGCTGTTCTGCAGCCCTGCGCTCCGGATCTTGACGGGCAGCAGCTCGTGCAGCGGTGTTACGCTGCTGTTCTGCAGCCCTGCGCTCCGGATCTTGACGGGCAGCAGCTCGTGCAGCAGTGTTACGCTGCTGTTCCGCAGCCCTGCGCTCCGGATCTTGGTGGTGGTGCTGCCCCACAGCCCAGCCCTCCCGGTCTCGGTGGTGTTGCTGCTCCGCAGCCCCGTACTCTGGGTCTTGACGAGCAGCAGCTCGTGCAGCAGTGTCTCGCTGCTGCTCTGCAGCCCTGCGCCGCGGATCCAGACGAGCATCCCGCATCCGAGCTGCATCCACGCTGAGGGGTGTGTTTGATGCACTTGTGCCTCTAAAATGAAAACCGCCAGCAAGTGTACCTAGGCGCTCGCGACCGCGAGTTCCGGGCCGCTGGGGTAAATCATTCGGCGTGTCTGCCATAACTGACGGAAGCCGTCTTAAGTCACAGCTTGCATTGGCGGCACCACCAGCCAGTATACAGCCGCCGGCTTTCGTAATTTACAGCCGGCGGCTTTCGTATGATTCAGCGCTCAGCCGCACTACTGTAAGTGAAGACAAATATAGCTAACGTGCATATCTGTGTGTGCGTCAAATTGCGTGTATAATTGCGCGTTTCGGTGTATTCTAAAGGAATCACGCGCCAAAATGCAGGTTCAATTGCACGGCTGGGTACATGTTAAATGTTAATTTGCGTGGTTCGGCGCGCTTGTGTATCGAATTACAATTAACAATCAACAACAACTCGGTGCGCTTGCGTGTCAATTCGGTGCGGCGCGCATTGCACTGTGCACGGTCCGAAAATATAAGAAAATATAAGAAAGAAGCGTGCGGGCGCCGAGCGACGAAGCAACATAAATAAGGACACAACGACGCGCCGGCGCCGGGGTCGAACCGGCGACCGCGGCTCCCACAAGACATCGGAGCTAGCGGGCCCGACGAAGCGGCACACGGCCATGCTCCAGGGCGCCTTCCGCGGGGCCAGGTGTGGTGCGGTGCGGCGCGGGGCGCCGAACCGAACGAAGGAAGAAGACGAAAAAAGCGGCGACGGCGGGGCGCGAACCGGCGACCGCGGCTCCCACGCGGCGACGGAGCTAGCCTAAAAGGCGCGGCTCCGAAACCGCGGACGACACCCCAAAAAACGCGAAAACAGCAAGCGGCCACCCGGACGGACGGACGGACAGACAGAAAGTTGGGGTAAGGTCTCCGTCCCGACGACGGAACGACTAAACGTCGTCCGTCTAACGTCGGGACTACGACTATAAACGACACCTCAACTTAAATTGTTGTCACAGCATCCAAAGGTTCTGTATCTATTCTAAAACGTGTGCGTATACTATGAGCTGCGCCAAGTGCCGTACACGAACATATGTGCGTGTACGACAAACAACTCAACACCTGTTCAGCAACTCAGCTATCAGCCCTGGCCCCTGTACAAAACCCCTGGCGTGCAGCCTGACATGGCCACATACCTGCTGCAGCCCACTGCCCAACACCATCCCTGGCTGCTGCAGCTGCA